CTTTGTCGGGTAAGTGTTATTGTCCCTGTGACGCTCAGAGAGGAGAAACGACTCACGCAGGGTCACGGAGCAAGTACGCGACAGGGCCAGAAGTGCAACCCGGATCTGCCCAACTCCATAACGTGTGTTAGCCGGAAGTTTTTCAGTAGTACAGGAGAGAAATCAGACTCCACCAGACCTAAGCAGAGAAAGGAATTTGTGGGATTTAAAACTCAAAAGAAAGTCCAGGGGTAGGATGAACTTCAGGTGTGGCCAGATCCAGGGGCTCGCATGAAGTTGTTCTGTCTCCGGGATGTATTTCCATCTGTCTCTCGGTTCTATATTCCTCGAAGTTGGCTTTATTCTCGGGTGGGTATCCATGTGCAGGGTCAAAGTGGGACAGCCCTGGCGTACTGCTTTTAGCAGAAAGCCCATCTGTTCCAAACAACTATAGCAAAAGTCTCAGGGCTGATTCTCATTGGTCGGGGCAGGGGAGCATCCCGACTGGCCGGGCTTAGATCCCGTGCACGTTCCTTGGAGCTGTGATACAGTCCGCTGTGCCCAAACTTCATGGGCAGAGACTGGGGAACCCTCAGGAAAATGGGGCGCTGGACAGGCAAAACCAAGTGACGCTTCCCCCTTCAGACTCTCTATCCGGCTCTCCTGCTCCTTGGCCCTGTTCATCCCCACTGGGGACTGGGATCCCCATCCCTTCACAAGGAACTCTCAGCTTCCCGGCGGCTGCTGGGAGCTTGGCCTGCTCTCCCAGGCCTGCCCCTCCTGGGGCTGCTTGACACTTTGCTCCACAGGGAGTGGTGAGTGGGGTGGAGGGGGCTGCAGAATCTCTCTCCTTCAACTCCGGTCACTTAAAAGTCATCATCTCAGGTCACGAGAAGTCTTGAGGGGGCCGGCACACCCCCTGCCAGCAGTAACCTCCCCGTGTTCAGCACGGCTGCAGTTCAGACGTCATACCCTCAACAGCCACATGCAGGTGCAGACAAGGGGCTTTCCTCCTTCAAAGTATTGGGTGCTCAGGAAGGAAAACGTTTCTTGGGAGACTTCCCCTGTGTGGCATCACGTGCCCTGGCCTGAACTGGCCACCAGCAAGGAGAACACCCTTCTTGACTTTGACCAGAGCCTCCCTTCAGGGCACTGTTGGCAAAGGTGAGGACGATTATCCGTTTGGTGGACCGTCCCCCATGTTGCAGGACATTGGCAGCCTTGGCCCTTGTCTATAAAAACATCATAGGGGGCGCCTGGGTGTGGGCATGATCGAGTTGGTTGATTCGTCGACTTCAGCCAGGTCGCGATCTCGCCAGCGGTCGATGATTCCGGCCCAGCGTGTGATGGGGCTCTGGGCGTGGCTCTTTCCAAACCTGGAGCTGCTGTTTCTGGTCTGTGTCTCCCTCTCTCTCTGCCCCTCCCCCGTTCATGCTCTGTCTCTCTCTGTCCCAAAAAAATAAATAAACGTTAAAAAAAAAAAATTTATATAAAAAAAAAAAACATCATAGCACCCTGCCCCCGCAGTCCCTGTGTCAAACTGGAGCACCCCTGCACACGGCCCAAGCGCCTGGTCCTGTTCCACACTGCCCCGACCCAAAGCCACTGGCCAAAAGTAGTTAGTTCAGCTTGTGGCCCGGGAGAGGGGTCCCTGCCTGTTCAGCAGGGCATCATGGAGGGGACCTGGACGAGAACAGCACTTTGTCAGTTAGGGACAAGGGAGCAGTGTTTGGTGGGGCCACATTAACAGCACTGGCCTTGCCATTGCAAAATATCCAGTGGCTGAGGCCAGAAGGCACCACATCCTTCCTGTCTTCCCTCGTTCCCTCCGTGTGTCCGTGGGGAGGTCAGGTCGGCCAACCCTCCCGAAGGTATCCCAAATTCCTCCACTCCACCCCCACTGCATCCACGCCCTCCCGCCTGCACTGGTACAGGGGCTTCACTCTGCCCCCGCTCCAGTCCGTTTTCCACGGCAGCCTGAGTGGAAAGGGGATCCCGTCCCCTGCCTTCGTGACACGCTTCTCATTGCATTTCGAATGAAATCGCATTGCATGTGGTCATGTGGCCCCCAGTGACCTGGCCCTGCCAGCCTTTCTGATCACCTCCAGCCACACTGGCCTGCTTTTTGCCCTTTGAACAGGCCAAGCCTGTTTGTATCTCACGGCGTTTCCATTCATTGTTCTCTTGCAGATATGCTCTTTGTCCAGATTTTTCCAAGTCTGCCTGCTTCTCGATTAGTTAGATCTAGTGCAGAAGGCACTGGGTTGTCTGACGACCCAGTCCAAAGCAGCACCTCTTTATATTCATTGGGATTCTGCCTTAGCTGTTGAAACAAAGGTCGAGACAACAAGATAGAAGATTACTCCTGCATGTCGCGTGACAGTCTGCGTGCAAGCCGTCCAGGATATGCATGGAGGCCTATTGGGTGTGGGACCCAGATGCTTTTTCTTACTGCTCTCTCCTCAAGCCATGGCTTCTGTCTCGTGGTGTAAGATGGCTGCTGTTGCTCCTGCCACCACATCCCTATTCCAGGCAGTGGGAAAGGAGAAGTGCATGGCCTGAAATTGACAAACTCATTAAATTAACTGTTCATTTACAATTGGATAAAAGTTGATTGAGGGGCCATGGCCAGTGGCAAGGGAAGCTTAGAAAATAGCCATTGTTCTGGGCAGCCTGTGTGAGCTATGGGCTCCAGTGCTAAAGGGAAGGGTGGATGCTGGGGACCCTGGTAGTCTCTACTGTGTTACCCGTTGTTCCATTCCACTCCTCCGTTTTCTTCTCTGAGCCTTTATCTCTAGGAGAAGTTTGCTTCGTAATGCAGTTTTCATGCTGGCTGGCTGCCTCCCCTCCTAGAACAAAGGGGAAGTGTGGCCCAACACCCAGATTCCTCCCTGGCTCGCGGTAGGTGCTGCTGCTGCGGGCGGAAAATGCACGAAGAGCGCACCCTTTCTTTGGACCTACTGTGTGTCGGGCATATGTTTGCCCTGTTGGTTTGGCCTCAGGTTGCCAATGGGGATGTGATCCACAGGCAGCGAGTGGCCTGTTGGAGAGAGGGATGGAGGAGGATGGTCTCAGCCCACCTGCCTCAGTCTCCTCTCCCTTTCAGCCAGAGGCAGTTGCTCCCGTTTCATGGCCTGGATAGGTAGCAGGGATGTCCCTGTATCCCCTCCAGCCCTCGCCTTTGGCCTGTCGTTCAGGGGCCACCAATCCTTGCTAACAGGGCGCTGAGCGTCCTGGGCTGCCCCTGGCTGAGTGTGAGATCTGCACTCTCGGGGTGTAAACAGAACGCGTCTTTCTAATTTTTTAAAACTTACTGACGTGTAACCCGTGCAGAAAAGCACACAGATCCTAGATGCGACTCAGTGGATTCTGACAGGGTGAACACGCCTGTGT